GGGGGGGGGAGTGAGAGGGGGGGGAGGGGCGGAGAGAGAGAGAGAATGGGGCGGAGAGAGAGAGAGAAAATAAACACTTTTTCTTCTCATATTTCACGTTTCCCTTCACAGATAATCAGCAATAACTGAACATGAAGGCACCGGAGCAGCCTGTGGTGGGCGCTGTATTACTCTGTGATTAATCATCATCTCCAATATTTTCCCGAATAAAGAGCAATACCCCAGAATTCGAAATATCGTGTTAATTACAGAACATACACAGTATACAGTCACAGAGAGGAACAATTAATCATCATCTCCAATATTTTCCCGAATAAAGAGCAATACCCCAGAATTCGAAATATCGTGTTAATTACAGAACATACACAGTATACAGTCACAGAGAGGAACAAATACAGATATAAACAAAATGTTCTGTGGGGATAAAAGCAAGGTGGTGAGATATCACAGAAATACAGGAAGGGAGATGTGACGTATCAGAAACTCCATGTGGGAGGGAGGGAAATATTACGTAAACTCATCATTGGGTGAGATGGGGGGATATATTACATAAACTCATCATGGGGGTTAGGGGGACAGCTCTAATCATACATTGAGATATCAGAAACTCCATCATTTGGGAGGGGGGATAAGGGAAGCTTCAAATTATTCAGTGAAATAACAGGAACTAACGTAATCGCTCATGATGCTGGAGCAGTGCACCCCTCACACACAAATTGAACACCTCGTATACATTGCAACACACATACACACTGCACTCCTCAAACACATTCTACCCTTCAACAGCACAAATTGCACCCCTATAGACACTAGATCCCTTAAACAAACACACTACATTCCAGACATACACAATATATCCCTTAAACACAGTACATACCAGACACATACACAGTACATCACTTATACATACACTGGATTCCTGACATACACACTCTGCATCCCCTATGCACACACTAAATCCCTTGTACTCATCTCCTATACACACTTACATTAGAGTCCCAATGCACACACTCACTACATCCCCTATACACACACACACGTTATCTTGCTCTGTACAGCCCCAAGTTACACATTTCATACCACAAACCCAACGCAACTGTGAACACCACAACCCACTCACTACACACATGCAATTCTACAAGCAGCCTCCAAACACATGCACAATACGCTTTCCTGGCCCTTTTGGCCACTTGTATCTGACTTATGGAGACACCAGAGACAAATTACAAGCAATCAGTTCAAGCTGTCATTAAATTTACTTGTGCTGCTCAGAACAAATACAGGGCCTTTTTCTCACGCAAGAGCATTGAACCAATATACTCACTTTTAAAGGGGCGTCCATATTATTGATGATGATCAAACACCCCCAAACAGGGCCAGATTAAGAGCCCAGGTGACCTGGTGCTGACAATTATGATGGGCCTAATTACAAAATCTTATTGAGCAAAAACATTAAAATAGTCCTACCTCCCAAGCGTCATGTATCTCATGGAGATGGTGCTGGAGGGAAACTCATAGGATACAGCTATGAGAAAACATATACCCTATGCTAATCTCATGCTTTTATCTTTCACGTAAATCCATACCCCCTAGCAGCAGTGTCCAGTAAAGCAGAAAGTCTATGGATGGGGTAAAAGGGTGGGCCACTGACGCAAATCACATAACCAGAACTGCCGAAAGGGGCGAACACAAAAAGGGGGCATGTCGGTGTCCCCATGTCTCCCAGTCCCTTAGTGTCTCTATCCCCATGTCTCCCAGTGTCCCCATGTCAGTAGGACACTAGGGGACAATAAGAGACATTGGGACACTGGGAGACCTGGGGACACTAAGGGACACTGGGTGACCTGAGACAAGAGGGGACTTTGGGACACAGACACTGTGATACATAGGGGACACTGTGATATATAGGGGACACTGGAGACTTGATAAAGACCTGGTTACAGGTCAAAATATTGCGGTGTCCAATAAACCTGCTTAAATCTATTACAGTGAGTGCCTGAGATTTTTTTGGGAAACACTAAGACACTAGGGACACTGGCAGAGTACGGACACTGAGAGACACCAGGGACACTGGGAGACATGGGGATACTGAGATACTAGGGACACTGGCTGTAAGACATGGGGACACTGGGAGTGCCCCATGTCTCCCAGGTCTCAAAGTCGCCCAGTGTCCCCATGTCCTCCTGTGTCTCACAGTGTCCCCATGTCTGTGTCCCCTAGTGTTTGTATCCCCATGTCTCCCAGTGTCACTTCGAGTCTGTGTCTCCATGTCACTAGGACACTTAGAGACATTGGGACACTGAGATACATGGAGACACTCGGAGACTAGGGGACTCTGGGGCCACTGTGAGATCCTAGTGTCTGTGTCTCCAGGTCTCCCAGTGCCCCCTAGTGTCTGTGTGGCCCCAGGTCTCCCAGTGCCCCCTAGTGTCTGTGTGGCCCCAGGTCTCCCAGTGCCCCCTAGTGTCTGTGTGGCCCCATGTCTCACAGTGTCCCCAAGTGTCTGTGTTCCCATGTCTCCATGCAGCCTTTCCCTCCATCCCTCACTTTCATGAGCTTTGGCTGTATCTGCAGGCTCAGAGCTGCTGTCTGGACTCTCTGTGCAGAGATGCTCCCCCGCGGATCAGTGAGTAGAGAGAGACAGGGAGGGAGATGCTGTAACTTCTTATCCCTGCCTCACTCCACACAAACAGCGACCCCCTACTGTCCGGCGCTGGTATTGCAGAATAATCTCTGTTTATACTGAGACTGACATTTGTATTGCCTGTATTACTGCAATACAGGCACCGGCTAGGCAGCCTCAAATACCTGAGAAATACTTCTGAGAGTACCTGGCAACCATAAGCAATACCTGAGAAATATCTGGAAACCCTAAGAGTACTGTGTAAAAAAAATAAACGTTTTTTGTTTTTAAATCAATGGGCCTATTCTATAAGCTTGGGCCTGGAGCTGCAGCTCCATCAGCCCCTATGTTAATTCGGCCCTGCCCCCCAATCTTGCCAGGCCATACTCACTGGGCCCCTGTCATTAAAAATGCCCAATTATTATGGAGATGATGGAAGTTCCATAATACAAAGGGGGTGAGGCGGAAGCTCATGTAGACTCCATTAGGGAGCATAATAGTGATGATGGAGACAGCCATACCCTCAAATAGATATTTGGTAAAATGTGGATTGTTGGGAATTAAAAATGAATTTGACATTTTATTCAAAATGTTATATTATGGGGGCGGGGCCTGACCGCTGAGCTGAGCGGATGCAAGATAGAGCTGCTCCTGTTCCTTGAGACCAATTTTTACCCAAAAATAGAGGTTCAACACACCCAAGCGACCTGCAGGGGATACCAACAGAGGGGTCACACCAGGAGCCACAAGCAGACACCAAATATGCCACATACCCAGCATAAAAAGCCAGAACACAGCTCGCGGCCTTCAAGCATGGTCGGCATGAGGGAGACGGCCGCTCCCCTGCCACCATCACTGACAGCAACTTCGAACAAGGGCCCTTGTTCCCCCCCCTATGGACCGGCGGGGGTCATCCCGGTCCCTGGGGAATCCATGCAGACGCGGTGGCGGATACCTCAGCTTCAGTCTACCAACCCTGAGTTGGCGGAGCCCTTCACTGGACCAAACGCCAACGAACAGGAGCCAAACACCCTGAGGCATTTAGATGCAATATTCGAGGCCTTTTGGAGAAAACTTGAGATGAGACAGGCTGCCACACGCAACACAATTGCAAACCCACCGCTAGCATTACAGCCCCACACCCGCCTCAGAAACGCTCCTCGCAAAACAACGCGGGTAAGAAAATGGCGTCGCGGCAGTCGCCGCTTCCCGCCGACAAATAAACCAACGCGACCACAACAGGCTGCAACTGCCGGACCACGAAAGTCACAGCCGGCCCAGTCCAATGCACGGATCACTCCAAGATACATGGCGAGCCGGCTGGCCTACTCAAGCGGCACCCGAAGGCTGCGGGCGGGACACCGACAGGATGCAAGGGGCAGGTTCCACCACGACCTCCACTTACATGAGCAGATGAACCTAGCATCAGGGTCCTCGGATTGGGGATATAAGATTGCGGAGTCCCGCGATGGACTACAAATGGAGGCTAGGACACTGGAAGGCATAGGCTGAAAGAAGAAGCTATGCGGGATTCTTTGGGACTTGCCCCCTCCTGAAATTGGGCGCCTGCAGTGGGCAGTATAGAGATATCTCTTACACAAAAGTGATGTTACAGTCTGCATATAATGTTTATCTGTTAATCTTAATGGTTTGAGTTTGCTACTAGTCACTCCAAACATACATTTACTGACACTGGCGCATTTACAAGCAACCCAGTGGCTAATACCAACAAGTAACTTAGGTAGACCCTCTCTTTCTCTGTTGGGAATACCAATGACATCCCCTGCCTATTTGTTAGCCTGCGTTTGATCTTGTTGGCTTGCCGCCTATGATTTCCAAAAGGGCAATACCCCTCTAGTTAAAGCTGCAGGGGCTATTTACGCCTAAAAAGCCCTTAACTAAGCTTTTTTGAAACAATGTCTTACAGTCTCGATAAAATCTAGTTTAGGCCAGGACAGATCTCTCCACTGAGGCTTGTAATATTAACGTTGACGCCTTCATTGATAGCCAGTTAGCTATGTACTTGTATGTTTGCCTAATATAACCGGGACACGTCCCTCTGATCTTACTTAAGAGGCTGACGACACGCCTGTAGTACCCCACCTATAAGTGCCACCGTAGTTTATACGACTGCTAGTCGTGGGTTAGCTACATAACACATCCAAGCATGTTCACCAATCTGTCTAAATAACTAACTATGAAAACGCTTCACACACACACTATAGACACGTTGGAAAGCCTGAAACTATGTTGTTTACCTTTTTAAAAATGTGTGCAATAACTATCAATGCCATATGTCTGTTTAAACTATGTTATCCACCCTTCTTGTTACTGCTGTTGTGGCATTGCAAGAGCATGTACTCTCTGAAATGCACCACCAAAATAAAGAATAAAAAAAAAAAAATAAAAAAAAAAATGTTATATTATATGCTTTTAATCTGGGTACTTTGGCCTAAAAAAAAATAAAATTCTCTTGGATTTCATGACATTTTACTGAATAACCCGGTGAGACAGTTCATCACGATAGTACCTTAATTTATTAAGGTGATACTTTGGATTAATTTAAAATAAATTATTCAATTGTATCCAATACACAAACAATGTAATCTGTACATATAATTTATTTCTCTTTTGCCATAGAACCTTTTCAAAGCCTTTTATACAAATAATATTAACATATCCTTCAGATAGATACAATATTTTTTTTTTTTTTTTTACACAGAGACACAAAATAGATAAAACTCAGTAATTATCATGTCGCTTAAAAAATTAAATAAAAAGAATTGCAGGTTTATTCACTAAAGTGATTTTTGGGAATACCTGTGACTTTCATTTAAGGCCAAAATAATCAAACAGGAATAATTCTCTAGATATGCTTCTAGTTCATTTGCTTTGGCCTTAACTTTGAAATTCTCACTGAATTCCCCAAACTTCGGACTTTAGTAAAAATATAACCATGTTAGTGGTTTTCTTCATTTCCGATTTTACTTATTTACCATTAAATAAAACAAAACAATTAAAATAAAGTAATCAAGGAAAATATGCACAATTAGACTTCGAGACATTGTAAAAACAGACAAAGTACAATTACAAAATACAAATGGGCAGTGGAGTGAAGGAAGTCATTACTACAACAAGCCACTAGAGGGCACTATTTGCTTGCTTTGATTATGTGCGTGTAGGACACTACATGGCGCATGCACATTCCAGATGGGACTAAAGACAAGATTTTACACAAGGATTAACCAGCTCCATTCCTTCTGCGAATACGGCCAGTTAGGGTTTAATGGAGAGCACGAGAAGCTCAGTCCAACAGACTGAGGAGTTTATTCACTAAACAGGAAGTCATAGCCAAACTTTAAAAAATCTTGACCAAAATAGCCAAATTGGAGATTATTCACAATTCATCTATTCTAATCTAATTGGTAATCAAATCCCGATGAATAGACCCCTTGGATTTCAGAAATCACGTGCCCAAGAAAATGGTTAGAAGCCATGTAGGGCTCAATACAGCATTTATTAAAAGGGTCATTACATCCCGTTGACTAAATAAGACACATTTAATATAATGATTCAACCTAAGGGACACCGTCCTCAATCTTTTACCAAAATTCTGCCCAGTGACACAATTTGTAATCATGTCAGATGTTGCTCTAATAAATTAAGAAAGGGCATTGATAGGCCCATTGCCTTGGCAGGCTTTTACCATCATATAGGGTTGTCAAGATCTCTTTTAATGCAGAATAAAAATATTGCATTAAAATATTGACCAAAATAAAAACGTTACAATAGTCTTTCCAGTGTCTGTAACAAGCATTCACTAAACCTTTAACTAGCCGTAATGCAAGTACAATGCAGGGAGCAATTAAAAACAAACTACTTGCAATTGGACTGTGGCATTTTTCTATAGTCCTGGATAAGATCAGACTCTGGGTTTGCACGGCTGTGTTTGGTTATGCCAGGTCCAAAAACTGGAATTTGGAACAGGATGACGTGGTAGATGGAATTCATAGGTTCTTTACAGACACGTAAAGATAGCATCTCACCAATAGTGACTAATAAACTGTACACTAGAACATGCAGAATAAATTGCATACTACCCAGATTCCTCATGCTGCACCCCGTAATAACAGATTCTGGGGACAGCCCACCACCCATCCAGCACCCTGTACTGCGTCGCTAAAATAGCAAGATGTCTGCATTTTGTAGACTCTTACTAGCAGATAACGGCCTCCACTGAAACAGGTTTGTGATATATATTGATATAAA